GTCTAGAAAAAGATAATACATTAATATACTTCCAAATAGCCTCTGCATAAAAGAAGACAGGTCCAAAAGAATACGTAATGAACTTAAAAAAGTTGCTTACATTATCAATAATGGTGCCTGTCCATGAACGCATGTAGATGTCATCTCCATCATCCATTCCATAACTCACAGTACCATCTCCAATACCCTTTTCTCCACGTTCAAGTTCCTCAAGCAATCTAAAGTTTCGAGGGACTGAAAAGAAACATAAATATACTATGCTTATGTTAAGGTTTAACTGGTAGTGTACCAAAGACATTTATCATGTTCAATACAACTCAATAAAATATACGTATATATATTCCTTACAATAAATTTATATATAAAATACGTAAATACTCCCCTAGATGCATCCCCAACCTTAGACTCTTCCATGTGCCCTTGCTCCCCCACCCCCACATTGAGCAGCTAAGATCCTTCTAGCACAGGGCAATAGATTGAGCAGCTATTCTCTGATAGATTAACATCATAAGAAATCAAAGAAAATAACAAGGTATGAGGCTATTGGAACAATTCTTCAGCTCTTCCTGTAGTATGCTCATACCACAATGACATCCTATTGCAATTTCATCCAATCTGGACGGGCATACTTAGGATTCAAGCCCAACAACTTGCAGTCTTCATCACTTATACGCTTCAGGACATTTAAAACCTGTAAAAATGTCATATAATGCTCGCTTTGTAAGTCTTGATCAGCTAGAAATTGACAAGAACAAAACATAGAAAATACATAGCTAGAAACATTTCTTCATTGAAGCTACCCTTTCAGCGGAGAGCTGTTGTTTCCTTTCAACAGGTTCAGGAAGCTGTTCTGGGTCATCATTTTTCTTCTTCTGAAGCTTGTATTCAGCAATCATTTTCATACCTTCAATAGTGAGCTTAGGTTGTTGAGCACCACAACCCCCTCGACTCTTCTTAACTGGTTCATCAGTATCTTGATCTTGGGTGTCAATTTCATCGCCACCTTCACATTTTGTTTTGCTCTTGCTAGCATCTAGGATCTTTTTAAGTCTGTTTTTTGGATTTCTAATTTTCTGAGCTTGCTTAAATTTGTGTTCCTCCTACGAAAGTAACAATTGAATAAGAAATGGAAGCTCCACCAGTATATACTTCGAACAGTGGGGAAGAAAATAAGGGAAATACTTTAAAAAGGTCAATGCATATCAGATAATTGCGGGGAAGAAAATAAGGGAAATACAAATATGGTGACTAATACAGTCACCAAAGAGACCTTCTCAACCAAATAAGGTAGCTTTGGAAAATAAACAGGTTTTTGAAAAGCAAAGTACAAACAGCTGTAATAGATTTAGAGTAACTGCAGAGGAGGATTAAGGGTGGTTGATACAAGCATACATGAAAATATAGACCATCAAACATATATATAGATAATTGTGGCAAGATATATGCATTTAGCACGTGTCTAATTCCCCTATATAGCTTTTCAAATTCTAGATTTCAGGAAACAATCATGATGGTTTTAAACATTGGTAAGATAGGCAATTTATGCCATCTGAAGATAATACTAAAAATGATAATTCTAATGAACAACTCACTCCACGACTCATCACAGCAAAATCACACTAAAGTAGTAAAGTACTAGTATACCAATTCTGTTCATGCAAAGTAATGATCCTAAACAAGACAACCCGAAGTCAGAACCAAAAGCGATCAATTCCATGACCAGTGTTATCACTTGTCAGAATGCAAATTCAGCATACTGCAGTCATCATCAATTCCACAAGAGCTCAGTTTCGAATAAAAGATCAAATTCCCAATCCACCAATCAGAGATTCCCATGTGGGTTTTGGATTTCAATTTGAAGATACCATCTTAACTCAAAAGCTTAAGAAAAAACCCAAAAGAACTCCATACAAGTTAGTGATATAAGTGAAGAAATTGAAGCAAAAAAACTACCTCATCGGCCAGAATTTTGGAGCAATTGAAGCAAACGCATCGCATAATACTGAGTACAGTTTTCAAAAATCCAATATGGAACATGGGTTTGGCGAGCTCGAGGTGCCCAAAATGGCCAGGACACTCAGCCATGTTGGCCATACAGGTCTCACACTTCATCTTTCGGTCAATAGTACCCAACCGAGGGTCGCTGAGGCCACCGGGCTTCGGCTTCCCTCGCTCCATCGTCTCACTGTGCTCGATCTGCACCACTGACATTTGCCTCTGCCAGAAATAAACACAACATCAAGAAATTAAAAACCCTTTGAAACCCTAACAGCCAAAGAGATGAAGATGAATTGGGTCTTTCTTTCGTTTTTTGGCAAATTCTCAATAAAAATACATGGAAAACATAAATTGATTGAAAATTGAAGAAAAAGATTACGATCTCATCGGGGCTAAGGATGCCAAACTGGACCATCCGGACCTTGGCGACCTCCGCTGGAGAGTATGGAAATCGGATATCCATGGCTACAACAACTACTACTACTACAACAGATCGTTGAGGATTTCAATCAAAATCAAAACATGATGAAAGTTTGAAACTACTCGATCAAGCTTCGATTTTGATCAAAACAGATCGTTTTTTAAAATTTAAAAAAAAAAACAAAACAAAACTGATGTCTAGACTATTCAATTTTAACGGTTAGTTTGGATGTTTCAGTGGAAAGTGTTCTCATCGCTCGCAGAGAGAACCGATCTCTCTCTCTCTCTCTGTGATGAGAGACAAGAAGTTGCCATACAGAAACGCCACAAAGGGGGTATGTGAAGGAGATTTATAGGAGATTTTCGCAATCATGCCCTAGATTGGTGAGCACGCGTGATGGATCGTTTAATACCCAAAACACCCTTCGTTAAAAGTTTGACCAGTGGATGGAACCGACTCCCATATCGCAAAAAAAAAAATGTTAGGTGGTTTGAATTTTTATTACTCGAATGATTTAAATATGTCAAAACGATATTATTTTTGTACGGAAAAGAAATAAACCTTCTCGTATAATTCTGTTGATCAAGTCTGCTCTCTTCTGTACGTCGTCGCTTTATCACCTGAAAACACAAACGTGAGCTAGCCGGCGGGTGTGTGCCGGAAACCTCTTCGATGCCTAAGTCAATAAGCTTGACAAATAGACAAAAGCTCTGTATATTCAGAAAGCAAAGTTGTGTGTTACCTCTCCAAAGGTGATGTTTGTGAGCTTTTTTAGGTTTCGTGTGGCACAATCCTAGTAGGACTTCTACTCCTCCATGCAGAGTCCTCCTAGGATTCATACTCTTGAAAGATAATGCTTATCCTTCAACACCCCCTCACTGCTTAAACCAAGTGAGATGGTTTTTACCATGGCCGAACTCCAACATGACCGAAGTAATCATGGCTATGCTGAGCCGCAGAGTAGGCCGAACTATCCTTAGTTCGGTTCTTCCTTTCGCTACGTCTTATCTCGGTTCTCTCATGTACAAACCATGGTGTGTTTAGACCGAGCTACCGATTAGCAAGATTCTGACTGTTCTAACCACAATAGGCCATGACCGGGCTAACTCTGAGACCGGCCTAACTCCAAGTCGCTTCCGGACCGGAGTAACATTACATTTCTCTCGGTGCCGGAGTAATTTTGTACCCCTCTTGGGCCGGAGTAACTTTACGGTCTTTTTACTTAGCCCTTCGTACTGTGGGCCATAATGACCATCTCCCAGCTCGGCCCAATTTTCACAAAAATTACCCTCTCAATTGCCCCTTAATTCCATCTGCGCAGCATGATAAGGATTATCTGTTTATCAGCCGAGCTGAAGTTTTTTAAGCCTTCCCAGCCGAGCTAAAAAACTCTTAAGCCTTCCAACCGAGCTAATTTTACATCGCGCTCTGCTTGTCCGGTCAAAACGTCTCTTCAATCACAGCAACTGAATCGTTTCTCCTTCCCGGGACACGTGGCACGCACTGATTGACTGAGGACGGCTGTCACGCCGTCTTCGTACTTCGTGAAATTTGAACAGTCCCGCATTTTTCCCTTTACCTAAAACGAGTCTCTTCATTTTGACACACTTTGCAACTTCTCTCTCTCTGAGCCTCCATTGTTTCTTCATTTTCTGAGCTCGTGTTTTGCTGCCTTTTGCTTCCATCTTCAGTTCTTGCTTCTTCATCTGGTTAGTATTGCACCTTTACTTCGTTTTCGTATGTTGCTTTCTGTGTTCTGTTTTCTGTGTTTTTGCAAAACATTTTTTTCCATTTTGCTTTGCTCTGTACTCTTATGGAAAAAACTTAACCATAGAACACATAAGTATATGAAATATCCTGTAGAAAACTGATTTTTGATCCAAAATCATGATGCAACCGAACTAGGATACTGTTTAAACTAGGTAAAAGTCTAGCCAGCGTACAACTGGACTGACACTTCATGTTTACACCAGTAGCTTTGAATAAGTCAAACTTCTTGATAGACCTTAGCCGAGGTAACCAACCGAACTAAGTTTGCACTTAGGATACTGAGATACCTAAACTCCAACCGATCTAGGCCTTTGGGGTTAAACCAGCTTTCTTAGTTTTTGAGACGGGACTCAGAAAGCTGCCCCTAGGCGATCAACCGGTCAAACAGAACCGTTTCCACAACCGAAATATTTAGACACTTGCCAAGGTCGAGCTAATAAAAACCCTGCTCAAACCGAGCTACCCATCACCTTGCAGAATACCGGGATAGAGCCTGTAACATCCCTCAAAGCCGAAGTAGGACTTTCTTACCTTGCTTTTAATTTGTAGCACAACCCAATGATCTGTGCTTAACACCTTTGTTCTTCACTTTGCAGACTTAGGTCGCCCAGGCACTCCTCTGCGCGCTCAACCGAGCTACTGAGCACAATTTTTGTACCGAACTAATTTATTTATACTTATAAAATAAATGGAAAAGTATAGATATTTAGTAAATACTCCGGGCGGTCTAGCCGAATTCCAAAAAGATTACAATATACCCAAGGACGTCCACTTGATTTTAGCCGAAAAAAATGTCATACCCTGGGGAAATGAAGGCTTTGTCCCCTTCACCCTTTTGTCCATAATTGAAACCAGACTACGATTTTCAGTCCAACCCTTAATTTGTGAGTTTCTTAGGCAAACCAGACTATGCCCAACCCAACTATCCACCAATTCATACCGTATCATAATGGGAATAGCCGAACTAAACCGCCAAGCCGGTCTCAACCTTGGTCTAGCCGAAATCTTCCACCAATACTCCATTGGTTCAAAAGAAGATGGGTGGGTCTACTATTTAAGAATACGCCGTCGTCGAGAGAAGATAATAAAATATACACCGGATAAAGACTTAAACGATGACGACTTTTTCTGGGTGTCTGGGAACTTTGAGGATCATCAAGCCCAGATTCCTGGCCGACGTATAAATTGGAAAAAAGGAGAACCCGGTATATTTACTTCGGTTTTCTTGCGTGCTTTACTATATTTCGATTTTTTAATCTTTCAGCCGAACTAACAGTTGTCTTCTTTCGCAGATTCTGCCCACCTCTATTCTCTATACAGCTACCCAGATCTAGCGACCTTGCGCGCCGCACTACGGTATCCAGAACGTAGTTGGGCCAAGCTGCTAAAGTTCGAGCCGACCTATAGATACAGCGGCCGTCGAAAAACGAGGGTGACCGACTTTCTGCTAGAGGAGGCCCTAGAACCGGACCCAACCTTGCCATAAATCAGATTAATCCCACTGATCGCTGAAGAAGAAATGGCTAAAAGGAACAGAGTAAGGGCGCTTCTAACCGAAACTAACAGACCCGAGGTACCACAAACCGGTCAGACGACTGAGACCGTAGTAGCCCTTCCATCCTAGCAGCCATCCTCATCTCGGGCGAACGAGCGTGCCCGGTCAAGCCAAACCGAGCAGCGCCTAGTCGATGAAGACGAGTCCATCCTTCCACCAAGCCCTCAACCCAGCCTTCAACCGGAGCAATCTGACCGAGCTGACTCCTCCAAATGGGCTCCAACTCTCACCTTTCAAAATTGAAATATTCAGGAAACTGACTCGGTTGTTACTGAGAAGGATCACTCGATGGCTTTCAATCTAGCCAAGAGTGTTTGCCTTCCAAAAGATATGGAGCACCACAACAAGCAACTAAACACCGAGCTGAAGGCCATCCGGTCATCAACAAAATCAATGATCCTAGTAGGTGGCTCTCTGTTTTCTTTGTTTAACTTTTTCCCAACTGTTAGTCCGGCTAAAGAGAGTTATTATTTTGCAGGCCATTCAGAAGAATAACATTGCACATAGGAAAGTGCTGGAGCTCCGAAAAACAACGAGACAGGCAATGGCGGAAGCCGAAGCCAAGACTGCCGAACTAAAACGCTCTCAACAAAGGATAGCTGAGCTGGAGGCCGAGGTAACACGTCTAACCGGACTAGTTGCCTCGGCTGACAGTGATAAACGGCGAGCTGTTACCGAAGTGAAAGACAAATATTTGTGGGAGATGGCACAGCTTGAGGGCGCTAAAGACGCCGAAATAACAGTTCTGAAGAAGAAGGCTGAGGACGCCGTGGTGAAAGGTTTCAAGGATGGCGAGGCTGCGTACATCCAACAGTGTGAAGCTGCAAAGGACTTGTTCTTCAAATACGGCTGGAGGGGTGCTGTGGAGCAGCTCGGTTGTGGGCCTGACACCGATGTCTACAATGCTCCGCAGTATTTCATTCCAGCCTCACTGGCGGAGTATGCTGCCGACCTCTAGAAACAATTTCTTGATGCGTCTGACGATGAAGAAGAAGATGAGCAAACTGAGACTCTGGTTGTCAATGCGGCTGTCAACGATCAATTAGCTCGGTTGCAGCCAGTAGTCGAAGACTTGACGACCGAAAATGTGCTTCCAACAGAGACCATGCTTCCAACTGAGACTGTTCGTCCCTCTGAAACCGGAGTCGGTGTTGAAATTGAAGCCGATCTCGATGATCTTTTTGACTAATTTTGTATTTTTCTTTTTCTTGGACTTTTTGCTCTTGTAACCGGGCTAAGGACCCCCCTTTGTATTTGCTCTTTGATGAATGAAAATATTATTTTTCTTATTTCGGTTGATCTGTATGTTTGTACTTGTAATGACTTTTCCATGATCTTTTCACTTCCAACTGTTATCTCGGTTTAAATTCTTGCTTTCTAATAGTAGAATGGCCGAGATACTTTATTCCGGTCTCATCTGAGTAATCTGATTGAGCTTACTAGCCAACCACTCTTTAGCCGATGTCCTTACTTCGGCTAAAGAGTACTAAAAGTTGGTTTAATTCAGCCAAGCACTCTTTGTCGATGTCCTTACTTTGGCTAAAGAGTACTAAGAGTTGGTTTAATCCAGCCAGCCACTCTTTAGCCGATGTCCTTACTTCGGCTAAAGAGTACTAAAAGTTGGTTTAATCCAGCCAACTACTCTTTAGCCGATGTCCTTACTTCGGCTAAAGAGTACTAAGGGTTGGTTTAATCCAGCCAACCACTCTTTAGCCAATGTCCTTGCTTCGGCTAAAGAGTACTAAGGGTTGGTTTAATCCGGCCAACCACTCTTTAGCCGATATTCTTACTTCGGCTAAAGAGTACTAAGCATTGGTTTAATCCAGCCGACCTCTAAGTTAGTTTTTCCAGTCAGCTTAGAATAAAATGTTTGGTGATTCCGACCAAACGTCCTGCAGCCTGAATCCTTATCCTGGGCTTAGGAGGGGTGTTGGTTTAGTCCAGCCAACCTCTAAGTTAGTTTTTTCTAGCCAACTTAGAATAAAATGTTTGATTGTTCC